GGGGACCCTGGAATGGGAGCTAGGCACACATGCGTCGTGTATTGACCACCAATGAGCTAGTAGCTAACTAGAGACTGGAAAGGGTGCCATGGAGGAGACACGCCTCCTACGTCTCTTCAGCAGGATCATGTTCTGGTCCTTTGATACGAGGGTGAAGAGCATCTTTGGACTCTCCTGTCTTCCCATTGCAGAGCAAGAGCCCCAGACGTCACTCCCTGCACAAAAGGAGGCAGCAATTTGGGATGGACTCGGCGGCGGCATGCTGGGCTTTGTTTGAAGGTGCCTGGACCTCTACGTTCTGAGGCTCAGGCAGCTGTCATGGGCCCGGGCTGCTGCTGCACAGACAAGCTACCCTGTTCCACAGCCTGTTCCCTTCAGAACCCGCCTCAGTCCACAGCCCAGCGGTTCAGACTCTTTACCCCGGCTTTGATCTCTCCTCTCAACAGCCCAATAAAAGTTCCCTGTACACATACCCCATAGACTTGAGACATTCTCATAAACTGGTCCTTTCGGGGTGTGGGGGTCTGCCTGCACTCCGTCAACATCTTGGCCCGGAAGTTTCTATAACTTCCTTTCCCAGGGATTCCCCAAGGTGGAAGGAATGAGTCACAGAGAGTGGGAGGGAGGTTTAGCGACATGGGTCTCCTTATCTGCAAAGTGGGGTAGAAGAGTGCCAGCCAATGGGGAGTAGGGAGGATGGAAGGCGCCATCCTCATCATAAGTATGGCCTCGGTGCACCCTATGAGCCACTCCAGGGGACAATGACGGCAAGGGTACTGGGGACAGCATTGTAACTGGGGTGGGAGTCTGTCTGGCCTCCCCCAGAGTCCACAGGGCTGCAAGACCCGCCCCCTCTAATCCTGGGCCTCAGAAATGAATTGGGCTGCTTTTAATCTCAATCCTGCCCCTCTCCCCACCCCCTTCCTCCCTCTCCCCCACCTCCTGCTCAGTCCTAGCCTAGGTGTCATCTGATTTTCTCCATTTGGGACATTCCAGTTTCTTTCTTCACAGCAAGGAATCAACCGGCAGGCAGCTGGAGTGCTCATTAAGGGTCCTAGACCATAGAGAGGCGCTGAGTCAAACCACATTCTCGCCCTCCTCCCCAGGTCGGTCTTCGTCGTCCAGTGATGACCTATCCTGGGCCCCTAGGAGCTGCCCTTGCTTGCTTCTTCAGAACCAAGTGTCCTTCCTACTGGGTCCCTCTGCTTTGCCTGCCCTCCCAGCTCCCTCTTTCTCAGCCCGACAGACTTGATCTCTGTCCTCTGCACAATCCACTTGGTGTCTTTCTGGATTTCAGGGAACCAGCAAATCATTGCACAGGCCCTGTCTGAAGTCCCTCATTCCTCCTTCAAGGAGAGGCTCAGGCTCACCTGCCCTAGGAATTGCTTCCCCAGGACCCCGGGGTATCATCATCCCCTGCTGGTGGGGCCATTTCATGCATTTTGGTGTCTGCCACCTCCTGAAGGTCTCACAGCAGTACCTGGGTGGTGTTGGAGCTTGGATCTGGCAGAGAAGAAACCTAACTGCAGGGGGTGTTGTGGCTCACGATAGTCACATAGCAGTGGGAATTTAATTTTAGTCCCTAAACCCTCTGGCTCCCTGTGTCACCCACCATAAGAGCAGGGGCCCACTTCGCAACCATGTCACAAAACTGTTTTGAAACAAAACTACGTGTCCTCTCTCTCTCACCCAGGTCGTGCCTCACCCATTCCTTATTTTTTTTAAATTAAAATTTACTTATCATCATGTGTGGATGCGCACGCACACACACGAGTGTGTATGCGTGTGCATGCCTGTGGAGCCAGACTATAACTCTGGAATTGAACTTACTCAGCAAATGCTCGGGCTTACTCAGCAAATGCTCTTACCCACTGAGCCACCCTGTCAATGCTCACCCCTTCCTCTGCTTCTTTGCCTGTACTTGGGAGAATCCCCCCCCCCCCCGCGCACCTCCCCCCCCCCCCCCCGGGAAAGAGACAAAGGACGTATCCCTTTCTAGTGGCACTGGGGACGCTTTGGCGGGCCCCACAGTTGCCCCTAGCAACGGTTAGTCTTATCAACTTGATGGAATGAAGAAATGTCCAGGAGATGAGCAAAGCACACCCGGGTGTGTCTGTGAGGGCGATCCCAGAGAGGATGACGTAGGGCAGAAGACCCTGGGTGAGCGTCTGTAGCTGGAGGGAACTGGAGGGACACACACGGAAAGAACTGTTTTGTCCCCTCCCACCAGAGGGACTGAAAGCTCCAAAACCGTGAGCGCGGACATAAGCTCTTCCTCCCTTCCGCTGTTTTCGGCGGGTTATTTTTGTCACAGCACCGAGAATCACGGCTGCCACAGCCTGCTCAGGGCTTCCCCATCTGGACTTCTTTTGAGACTGTCACCATACCCGCTGCCTGCCCGGCCGGTCGCCACCGGCTCCTGTGTCTGCCAAGCCCTTTCCGTGAGACTAGAGCGCCTTGCGGAACTCCAGTTCAATTTTTATGTAATTCCAATAGAATCCGTCGCACATGTTAGTGATTACTGGATGACACCATGTGGCCTTTGAGCATCCCTCCAGCAGCCCCCAGACTGCAGGCCTCCCGTTGGCCAGGGCTCCATGACCAGACGGCTCCCTTCAACACCCACTGACAACTGCCTCCAGGAGTCACCACCCACCCCTGCAGCTACAATGTCCTCTCATCCCTGTCCCCAACACCAGTCAGAGCCACGGTCCCCAGCAGCCCCCTGTCACCTCCCATTGGAGGGACGTAAGTACCTTCCGTTCAACCCTTTGGTGGTTCTCCATTTCCCCCTTTACCCATCTAGCAATCTCTAAGGTCTTTCTGGACCTGAGTTGCCCATCTCATCCAGCCTCACCTTCAACCATGCCTCTCTCCCTGGTCCTCATGGTTTGGGTCTTCATTCACAGCCCCAAAGCAGTTCCCCCGCCCCCGCCCCCGCGCCTCAGAACCTGTTCCCTGGGGTGGGGGGTATGTGCTTACCCCCTTGTGCCAGGCAAACTCCTACTCACTCTTTAAGTCTGGCCCTAAAAATCACTTCCTCAGGAAGCCGGCCTTGGTGCCACCACCATAACATTAATGTAACACATTTCCTGGCCACTTTACCTCCGTTATGGTGGCGTTTCCCCCACGATACGGTGCCTACTCATTTTCTCTCTGTGTCCCACTCAAGTTCAGGAAGGTTGAAGTGTTCCCAGGCCAGTTTCCCCCCCCCCCATCTCATCACCTCCCCCACCCCCCCACCCCCGTCAGCTAGCTCTCGGTAAACAGCAGCAGGACACAGTGGCAAGAGAAACGGGTGCAGGGTAGGGAGGCTTAGCTCTAATACTGGATGCCACCATGTGGCCCTGAGCAACCTACTGCCCTTCTCCAGACCTCAGTTTCCCCCCTCTGTAAAATGGGGGGTCACTTCAGCTCATCCTTGGGGTGCTTCTCAGTTCTAGAGGTTGAGGCCTTGAAGTCATGAGCTAACAGAGCTACTGCTTGGAGCAGGGGACTCCCTGTGAAAGACAACAGTGACCTGGGCAGGTCCTGGGCACTGGAGCCCTGGCACAGGGAGGGCTTGGCAAGGGTTGGGTGCACATGGGAAGGTCTGCAACCCTCTCCACAGTCCAGCCAGTACCCTCCCCACTCAGCCAACCAGGAAGAGCCCAAAGACTGCCCAAGGCCTAGGGGATTGTGGGTGGCCTGACTGAGCCTTCTTAGTTCTGGCCAGTCATGGCCATGACCTGTAGCAGCAGGCATGGGACGCCGCTCACTCAGCAGGGACTTATTGTCCCGGGGCCACCCTCTAGGGGCCACCCTCTATGCTGTGGCCTGCAACTTCCCCCATGGGGGTCACCCAGAGAACTCTAAAAGAGGCACCCCAAAGAAACCCAACTACAGGAGACCCAAGCCTGTTAGACCTGGCTAATGCTTGCCATCATTCTGTAAAGCTCAGAGAGGGTACAGTATTTGTCCCAGGTTGCACAGCATCCAAATAAATCTCAGCGTGAGTACAAGAACCCAGGGCTGCTGGCTTTTAGCACCCTGTTGGTTACGATCCCACATCCGCTCCTACTGTGCGAGAGATATCCCCGGCCCCGGTCCGCCCCCCCCCCCCCCCAACCATTCCAGGCCGGCCTCCTCCAGGACCTTGGGTTCTCCGTGCTGTTCTGAATCTCTTAAGCCACCAGCCCTCCCCATCTTGAGACGCTCAGCTTTCCCTCCTGATCACCCCCACCCCACCCCACTAGAGTCTGCTTTTCCCGCCTCTCTAGGGAGGATGCCTCCCAGCGCACTCTCTGGACTGCCCCAGCAAAGAGACAAGACACATTAGTAACTTTTGATCTGCCTGGGATGCAGCACATTGGAGGGACGGAGGGAGGGAGGAAGGGAGGGAGGGAGCGCTGTATCCTTTTCCCAGTTGAGAGGAGGAAGTTAGGACCCTTCCAGCGGCCACAGCCGGAAGAATCAAAGGTTAACGGGACCCCAAGGAGGACAGAGACAGGCAACTCACTCTTGGGCCCCAGAGGCCTGGACCAGCAAACAGGGACCAGCAATGAGCAATCTACTTTAGAGGCTGTCCCTTTAGGTCATTAAATGGCTCACTCTCTTGCCCTGTTCCCAAACGTGACCGTAAGCACCCACCCTCGTGGAATGGAGAAGACCACCAGAGCCCAGCAAGCCTCCCCCTGCCTATTTCCCACCAGCCCAGGCTGCCTCCGCGCACCTTTTGCGCTCCCTGCCTTCCTCCACCTGACTGTCGCGCTCACAGGGCGCCCCCAGAGAAAGACTTTGGGGTCTCCCGGACCTGGGAGGTCCTGCACATGCTGGCCTGGTGCTCTGGATCTCCGGCAGCCCAGCGGCGAGTCCCTTCCCTCAGTCCTAGTGCAGACAACCTGGGCGACCGTGCAAGCGAGCGAGCGAGCGCCCGCCCCGTAACGGCTCCTGGAGTCCCCGGGACTGTGCGAGGGGGCGCCGCGGGGAGGGGATAAAAGCCAGCAACAAAGGGCACAAACCTCGTCCAGCAGTTGGTTGACTCGTCCCAAAATAGCTTTCTCCATTTGCTGCTCCCCGCGCTCCGCTTCCAGGCGCAGCACCCGGGCCTGCAGCTCGGAGGTCCGAAAGTGGGCGAGCAGGCTGAGTGCCAGCGAGCACAGCGCCAGAGCCAGCAGTCCGCAGCACCCGGGGCTCGGCAGCCTCGTGCACTGCTCCGCCAGCGCCCCTGTCCCGGGCCCGGGCGCGCCCAGCTCCCCAGGGCCGCGAGTGCCGGTGGCTGCCGCTTTGCGGGCGCGCTCCGCCACCATCCCCTCGCGTCTTAAGAACCAATAAATAAATAAATAGAATAAATAAAAAACGAGATCCAAGAAGCACAATCCGAACAGTGAGGCAGGAGGGACGTGGGGGGGCTAGCGTGGCCGGAGGACGTCCCTTTCCTTTGCTCTCTAAAGAGGACAGAAAATGAGCAGTCGGAGTAGGGGGACAGCCGAGAGCCACCAGCAGGCGCGATCGGGGTACGCCAAAGTAGGAAAAAATGTTATTTCGAAGAGTGTTCCAAGTTGGGGGATCTGACTCCGCTCTCCCGCTCTTTCTCTTCTCGCTTCTGCAGAGTCCTCGGGCTGGTGCGACGCTCGGGGTCCTACTAGGTGTCTTGAGTCTCCGGGGCGAGCGGGTGTCAGTCCCCAGGCGAAGGGGCGCGCATGCAGGGCTCCATGGGCAGAGGTGGGTCGTGGCCGCAGTGAGCCGTGCTGGGGCCGATTCCGGCGCCTCTGTAACTTGACACAGCCAGCGCGGCCGCGCGGATCGGATGAGCGCCGGGCGCTACTTCCCAAACTAATCTCCCGCGCCCCTCCCTCGCCCTCCTCCTTCGCCCTCCTCCCGCTCCTCCTCCGCCTCCCGCGGGGCCGCGGCTGGGGTTTGTTTATTTATGCAAAGTCGCCCGGGGTGGGGGGCGTGGTGTGTGGGGCCCGCCGACCCCGGTAGCCCCTGTGCTGAGCTCCCGGTGCCCTTTGAAGTGACACTTGGGGTTATTTATAGGCGGGGAGGGGGTGTGGAGTGGAGCGGGGGGCTGCGCTCCTCTCCCTTTGCTTAGATTCACACTCAAGACCCGGGGCGTCTTCCTCAAAGTCATAGGGACCCGACATCACAGCACCCCGCTTTCCCAGAACATCAGGGACCCTCAGCACCCAAGACCCAGCATCACAGCACCCCGCTTTCCCAAGGCCTCGAGAACCCTCCCGGCAACCTGTCGAGTCACTGTCAGGACGCCTGCATGGTTCTGCATGTCCTGAGCTGTGAGATCTGCCGCGACTGCATCAATCTATCCCTCATCCATCCCCACCCAGGTATCTTTGTAGGTGTCTCTGGTGGGACCATGATACCAGCCACAGATTCACTCCGCAGTGGAAAAATCAGCGCTCGGGGCAGCGGTATTGACGCCCTTTTCTCTTTCGGGACAGAGACCTTAAGAGCTCCAGAACAGAAATTTATCGGGGATCAAGCCCACCACCCAGGTTTACTCTAAGATGTCTAACAGGCAAGGTGTCTCCCTTTCTTACCCATGTTGATCTGAGACCCATAGCCCATTAGACTACCTAGGAGTCCAAGCCATCAAAGGCCAACAATTACCACACCCTGGCATCCAATCTTCCCTGTCCCCTCTAGAACTAACCCCATCTGGCCTGCGTGGCTTCCTCTTCTGTAGAAGAGCTCAGTGGCCTTTGGGCAGTCTGCATTCAGAATGTTCCCCTTTTCTCACCCTCTCCCCATCAGTGACTTCTGTCACTAGAGTTCTCATTTTCCTGGTGCCTCTAGAGATTCCTGCAAAGGAGTTGGTGGGGTTGCGCTTTCTGGAGCATCGGGCAGGGGAGGGGAGGCTGGCCCTTGAGCTGTGGGATGGATGTGGAAGTGGCAGGGGTGTTGGGGTGCGTGCCCTTTCCTGGTAACAGGGCAAACTTTACGTTTTGCATGTTGAGTGGTGGGAGGGCGCTTAATATCTGAGACATGCATTAGTGTATAGTTCATATCTCCGGATGGGAGCTTGTAATGTAGTACTCACATCAATTAACGTAAGCCTGACTGCTAGGTAGTAAGGCACCGCGGAGAACTGGAGGGCTAGGAAGCAAGGCAGTGGAAAGGGCTGGTGGCCATAAAGTCCCTGTGGCAGCATTTCCCTGATGTATCTCATTAATAAGCAGACTTCTGTGCCCCGAGCCCTGTCCCTGTTTGTCTCCACCCAGTACAAATGTCTGAGAAGAGCGCCATGTTAAGGACCGCTAGGGGGCGCTGGAGAGTTTCTCAGCTGGGATGTTCTCCGCAGCGACTAGAATGCTTCTCCATGCCCTGCCCGGGTCAGTCTGAAGGAAGGCTCGAACAGGCTGCTCACTGAGCTGAGGCAGCAAAACTGAAGACGTTGGGGGCTGCAGCATTGTTGAGATTGGAATTTCAAGGTTCAGGGTGTCATGGTAGCCTGAGCCGAGCCCAGCAATGGGAAAAAAAAAATGTCCAAACCCAACGCTCCGAGAGACCCCATCCAGTCAGAAAAACCAACAAAAAAGTGCCCTTTTCTGACAATGGGTTTGGCACATGTCTATCATCCCTTGGGAGACAGATGTAGAAGGATGGCAAATTCAAGGTCATTCTGAGCTACATGGTGAGTCTGAGGGCAGCATGGGCTGTGTGAGATTCTGTTCCAAAGAAAAACCAACTAAATAAAATGGGCTTATAATAAAGGATCTAGCTTTTCTGGAGGACTCTAATGAAGAGATGAATTTGTGTGTGTGTGTGTGTGTGTGTGTGTGTGTGTGTGTGTGTGTGTGTGTGTGTGTGTTTTGAGAAAGGGTTTCTCTATGTAGCCTTGGCTGTCCTGAAACTCACTCTGTAGACCAGGCTGGCCTCGAACTCACAGAGATCCACCTGCCTCTGCCTCCCGAGTGCTGGGATTAAAGGTGTGCGCCACCACCCCCAGCCCGAGGAGATGAATTTAAAGCACACAGTAGGCACTCAATAAACGGCATCTCATAGGAACTCGTGGCTGCTGGTACCAGCTCATCCGTGCCTGAACTCTTCCAACTGTGAGTCAGTTCTGTTCAAGCCAGTTTGAATTGAGTTACACGGTGGTGTCCACCCACCTCTGCCTAGGGATCTCTTGGAGGTTAGTGGATAAAGTACCACAGAGGTACAAGGAATTCCCATCGTGCTCCAAGAAGGCCCCACTCATCCAGGAATCGGAGAGGCCTCTAGGGGGAGTCACCGCTCTGCCTACACTTCACTGTGGTGTGTGTGGGGGGGGGAGGTTAGTTCATATGTCCTTCATGGGTTGATTTCCATCCCCCACACTCCCCAGCTCACTTGCCCCTTGCTTCTCACCCAGCTGCCTTCTTGGGGCTTCTGAGAGTTCCTCTCCCTCTCCTCCACGGAGCCTCCTCAGTTCTTTCTGCTTTTTGGTCCCTCAGTTGGAGCCATCAATGACACCCTGTGGCTCCTGCTGGATGATTGACCTCTCCCCACAATGCTCTTGGCCCAGCTGGCCCTGGCCTGAGGCCTGACATCACCTGATTTGGCCCAAGCCCACCCTTCACTCAAACCTGTAGTACCCATGACTCCCCATAGTACCCATGACTCCCTGTAGTACCCATGAATCCCTGTAGTACCCATGACTCCTCGTAGTACCCATGACTCCCCATAGTACCCATGACTGGCAAAACCAAGTTAAGTAGGTCCAGACTGAGAACCTGCCCAACCTCCTGGTCCATGTTTCTTTCCCAGCCTCATGGTCTCTGGCAGGGCAGCCCAGCTTTCCAGCCCTGTTCTTGAGTCCCGTGAGAGACAAGCGTCAAGGGAGAAGGAACGTGGGCCATGTTGGCTTCGTGGAGTCCAGTTAGTTACCAAACAAAATGAAACTTTCACCTGGCACGTGGAAGCCACTGCCTGGGGCCTGAATCCTATCCAAACTCCATCTATGTCTGTCCTTTCCTAAGTTGGGAGTTCCCAGAGCCAGGCAGGGGGGTCCTTGAGGCTCACCCTAGAAAGGGTGGTGGGCTTGAACAAGAAAGTGAGTGTCACGTGGGTGGGTGGCCTTGAGGCTTCGCTCTCCCTGGTGATTCTTAGCTGGTGCCTCTGTGTCTACTTAAGGGACAGACTGGTGAGCACGGAAAGGAAAGGCCTGTGGAGGGGACAGGAGCCAAAAGTCCACTCACCCACCAAATATGCATGGAGCCCTTTCTGGAACAGGGCTCTGTGATAGTGTTGGGGACACAGCTGTGGACAAGATGGATTAATGGCTGGTTGACGTCACTGAATAGGAAATGCAGGACACAGTGGGGGTGGGGGAACAGCAGAAGAGGATCCCCTATAAGACCTGTGGTGTAAGAGCTGATGAGTAAGCAGAGTAGGCAGCTGAAGGGCTTAGGGAGAGCATGCCGAGCAGAGAGGCCTGCCCGTGCAAAGGCCCTGAGAAAATGAAGTGCCTGGAGCTCTGGGGAAGGTGGGTGGCTCACTGAGGCCGAAACTCGTGTGCAAAGGAGAAGGGACTGTGGACCAGGCATCTGGAAACACCTTCTCTGAAGTCCCCCTGTTCTCTCCCCCACAGCCATGTGGAGTAGGTCATGGGCTGTGACCCTGCAGAACAGGTGTGAGTTGAGGCCAGGAGCTGCAGGTACACAGCAAAGAGGCCTGGCAGCTTTACTGAATGAAGCCATACCAAATTCAGAACGTTAAGAGCAGAGCCCGGTGTGGAGGTTACATTGATGAAAACACACAGGCAGAGGGGATTGGGGCAGTTGGCTGGTTAGGCTTTCCAGGAGTGTGGGTGCAGGTGTGTGGATGTTTCCCAGCTGCCATTTGTTTAGGCTCTTACCCCATGTGTTTGCCTCTATCAGCTGTGGTGTTTGGGCATGTGGTGGGTTTGAATGAGAATGTCCCTCATAGGCTCAGATGTTTGAATGCTTGGCCTCTCGTTGGTAGAACTGTTTGGGAAGGATTAGGAGGTGTGGCTTTGTTGGAGGAAGTGGGCCATTGGGGTGGGCTTTGAGGTTTCAAAAGCCTGTACCATTATCCAGTGTCTCTCTCTGGCTCTCTACCTCATGCCCATGGATCAGATGTAGCTCTCAGCTACTGTAGCTCCAGCACGATGCCTGCCTGCTGCCATGTTCCCTCCCATGATCCTCATCTGCTCACCTTCTGGAGCCGTGAACTCCAAATTAAATGCTTTCTTTTCTTAGTTGCCTTGGTCACAGTGTCTCTTCACAGCAATAGAAAAGTAACCATCTTGGGCACAGGAGATGATGTGCATTTCTGAAATCACGTACAGGCAGACATGCACAAGATGAACAGGCTGGCCTCAGGAGATACACAGGCTTTGTGTGCATGCTCCCCCCAACCTCTGCCGTGTGTGTGTGTGTGTGTGTGTGTGTGTGCGTGTGCGTGTGCGTGTGCGTGTGTGTGTGTGTGTGTGTGTGTGTGTGTGTTGGGATTATGCTCATACACGTATCCAACCAAGGAATATGTACTGATCTCTGTGCATAGCCTGTGTGGTCTAGATGCATATTCAAGAACATGTACCTGCTGCCTCCAAGTGGTCAGGACTCAACTGTGTGGAGAAATGATACGTTGGGAATGAGGGCTAGTGTCTCAGTCCTCTAGAAGTGCACAGCAAACAGCTCTAAGTCTTAACCGTGGCATATGACTCCTCCGAATTCTCTTAGTTGGCGTGGCTCAGCTGAGTGGTTCTGTTGCTCTCAGCTGTGTGGCTGGGTTTCTTGTGGCGCTGCACTGCGGAAGTTTGGTGGAGTGCCTCTCATCTCATCCGGGT